CGAACGGTAAATCTAACTTTAAACTTAGAGAAACTTACTTGAAATCCTCTAGAATGGATGTAGAATCATAGATCTGAAGAAAAATATAAGTTTAGGAGGGTTTAGTATGAGAAAAAATAGTGAGATATAGCCTTAGAACCTTAGATAGGAGTGAAGAAATGAAAATTTCGTGTGAAACCTCTTTTTATATAAAATTTTTAAAATTTACTGTTCACCACCTGAATTACTATTCATCGCCGAAAATACTATTCATCACCTTACTATTCACGCGCGGAAACACTGTTCGCGGGCACTGTTTATGCCAAAAATACTATGCACGCGTACTGTACGTGTATGTGACGTCAGCATGGCATCAATGATGATGTCATCAATTAAATTTTTTTAAAAAAAATTTTAAAATTTTTTTAAATATAAATTTCATCTAAATCTATTCCAATTATATTTTAATAAATCCCATTTTATTTAAATCAAAGTGCAGACATGTCAAACCTATGCTGATAATATTTATGTCCCCTATACATTGCTAAAAGTCTTGTCATCACCGTGGCCCTTTTCAATATAGGGAATGGATGTTATTGGACCAATTGAACCCAAAGCATTGAATGGTCATTGCTTTATCCTCATGGTAATTGACTACTTCACAAAATGGGTTGAAACTGTCTCATATTCTAGTGTGACCAAGAATGTGGTAATAAGATTCGTCAAAAGGGAGTTAATTTGTTGCTATGGTCTACCAAATAAACTCATCACCGATAATGGGACAAATTTGAATAATAAAATGATGAAAGACTTGTGTGATATTTTCAAAATCCAACATCATAATTCATCCTTATATCGACCAAAGATGAATGGAGCCGTTGAAGTAACAAATAAAAATCTCAAAAGAATCATTCAAAAGATCGTAGTAACATATTAAGATTGGCATGAAATGTTACCATTTGCTTTACGTGCCTACTACACTTCAACTGGGGTAACTCCATTTTCCTTGGTATATGGAATGGAAGCAATGCTACTTCCAGAATTGAAAGTTCCATCTCTTAGAGTACTAATGGAGACGAAGTTAGATGAAGCATAATGGGTTCAAGCTCCTTTCGACCAACTAAATCTTATAGAAGAAAAAAGGCTAAATGTCATTTGTCATGGTCAGCTATATCAAAACAGGATAAAGAAAGCATATGACAAGAAAGTATGTCTACAAAAATTCCAAGAAGGCGATTTGGTGCTTAAGAAAATGTTGCCAATACAAAAGAGTATCCGTGGAAAGTGGGCCTCGAATTATCATAGACCTTATATTGTAAAGAGGGCTTACTCTAGCCTTGATACGCACTAACATGGACGGTGAAGACCTTCCTCACCCTGTAAATTCTGATACCATCAAGAAATACTATGCATGAAATAGGATCTTAGACTAGGACAAATTCCTCATGAACGTTTATTGGCATATGGTATTAACATTGGAATTCAAAAGAGCATTAATCAGAATTAATAATAAATCTCGCCTTTTGCATATACATATTTCATCATCTTTTCTTTCATTCATTTAATTTCTAATATACTTTTTAAATAGAAATGCTAAAAGTCATGTGTAGAATGACAAAACGTAGTTTCATCTGTTTATGAATTTCAAAGAAAGTGAAGTTCAAAGTTAAGGAGTTAAGGATACTCCACAAAAAAAAAGGATAAATTACCAGGAAGATTATTCAATATCAAAATTCATACTCTTTATTGCACTTGACCTATTATCACCTACAGAGGGAGACATTTTTATTTTTTTACCGCCTATAGAGGAAGACACTTTTATTTTTCACTTACTACCTATAGAGAGAGACACTTTTATTTTTTTCGCATTTACTGCCTATAGAGGAAGATTTTTTTATTTTTTTTTGTTATTTACCACCTGTATAGGGAGGCACTTTTATTTTTTTGTCATTTTCTGCCTATGGATAGAGGCACTTCTATTTTTCTATCATTTACTGCCTATAAAGGGAGATACTTTTATTTTTCACTTACCGTTTATAGACGAAGACACTTTTATTTTTTCATTTACCGCTTGCAGAGGGAGGCGTTTTTATTGTTCTGTCTTTAATCGCCTATAGAGGAAAGCATTTTTATTACTGCCTATAGAATGAGACACTTTTATTTTTTGTTATTTACTGCCTATAAAGGGAGGCACTCTTACCTTTTTTTCATTTATCGCCAATAGAAGGAGACAATTTTATTTTTTTTGCCATTTACTGCCTATGGATAGACGCGCTTCTATTTTTTTTTGTCATTCATTGCCTGTAGAAAGAGACACTTTTATTTTCTAACACTTTTACTGCCTACAGAGGGAGACACTTTTATTTTTCATTTACCGCCTATAGACAAAGGCGCCTTTATTTTTCATTTATTGCTTAAAGAGGGAGGCACTTTTACTATTACTTACAGAAGAAGGCATCTTTATTGTTCTTAATGCCTACAGAGGGAAGCGCCTTTATTTTTCTTAGCGCTTATAGATGAAGGCACGCTTATTTTTCACTTTTTTCCTTGGCATTTATCGCCAAAATTGTGAGGCATTTTTTCCTACTGTCTATGGAATGAGGCCCTTTTTACTGCCTATAGAGGGCGGTAAAATACTGACAAAATTAGTTCATTTCTTTATTATTCTTATTGCGATAAATATAAAGATTAGAAGTTCATTATAATTTATCGCATAAGCAAACAAGTAAAGAGGGGCAAACTGAGAGAAAAATATTACTTGACTCGGGTAAATTACAAATTAAAGAAAGATTGTTCTATAACTTATCTAAGATTCAAGCAAAAATTTAAAGAACCTACATAAGTAATACTCTCTAAATCTGGGGCTAGCAAACTAGTGGCGCAAAAACTAAATATTCACTAATGTAGGTCGAAGAAAGTAAATGGCCTCTACTTGAATATGATATGAAAGAGAAAGTTGAAATTAGAGCACCAAGAAAGAAGACTACAAATAATGCATAAAGGCCAGAGGAGAAGATGATGAATAGACAAAAACAATATAAATGAGAAAAAGACAAAAAAGTATTAACAAAGTTAACATTTTTAATGAAAAAAACTTATTTAAGATGTATTAAAAATTAGTGGACCAAAATGAATCAAAGTAAAGTTAGAAGACAAAATTAAATTTGACACTTAAGTTGGAGAATAAAAACACTAATTTTACTTTTATCAACAATTTCTTATTTTAGTCATTATATTTTTTAGAGTTTTTTGTTTTAATCGTTTTCATTAACATAGTTTTACAAAAAAAAAAAAAAAATAATAATAATACATGATAATCTCTTAATTAGTCACGTTATTATTTAACATTTATTAAAGACGAAAAGTATAATGAAAGACTAAAAAGAAAAGACTTGCAAAAATATATTTAAACCATTAATGTTTTGTATCATGTTTTACATTATAACTTGTACTAAGATAATTATTTTCCTTAACTAAAATTGATAATGAAATTTATAACTAATTTTACACAACATTAAATATATTAATATATCTATAATTAATAATGCCTTTTAATGATATATCAAGATCTTCAAAGAGTAAGGACTGCATATCATGATCCCATACTAAGGCAGCAACCAATGTTCTTGAGTGTAGGGTTGCACAAATTTAAGGTAGAATAGAACCTGCTTATATTTGTTATAAAAAAGTTACTCACAAGTTATAATGGTCGAATTTGTATGAATAAGTTTTTTTCGTTGGTATCTAAACCCGACCGATGCCTTTTATACTACTAGTCTTGCTTCCTTGGGTTCTAAGGTAGTCCCTGTGCTCTATTGTTACTTATGCTTTAGGTGCATTGTAGGAAAGTTGGTAAGTGGTCGAAGAGGGACAAGGGTCACAGGTATATAGCCATTTTGCATATTAAAATTATTATTTCGTAGTGACAAAAGCTTATTTTAAATTTGAAAGGACAAGTCTTGAGTCCCACGCATGCGAAGTTCAGAAAAACTCTCTTAAGTCAATCACACTGTCTCCACCTTCATAGCTATTCGACTATTTCTTTGTTAGCATACAATGTGTGGCATCAATAGGGGAGGTGAAGGGAAAGCACTGTTCTACCAAGTTTTACTCCCTTCAATCTATTAGTGCGTCGCTCTTTCAGGGTAGGATGCAAGTCTTCGTTGTTGATAGCATCCTTTGCATTGTTCAACAAGTCTTCACTTTAGTACCCCTATCTAAGATGCCATCGCCTTAGAGGTAGTCGGTGGCTTTGCAATCTGGTTTGTGGCAATATGGGACAGAGACGTGGGTAGTGGTAATAGTTATGTGGAAGTTTATATGATATAATCTTTTTTCTACTCTTTCTTCTCACTTCGACCTAAACTTTAACTTCAAACCGTTTAAACCCACTCGAATTATCAAAATGTGTCCAAACTGCAGCTTGTGTAAATTTGCGGTCATAAAGGGCTAAAATATTATTATGTTTAGTTTACATCAATTCTGAATTTTTGGGCCAAATTCGACCGAAATAGACCCGTGCCCATGGCGACCTGAGTGCACAGTTGACATGCATATTATTTATAAAAAAGAAGAATAAAAACTTGGCATGTATACCCACGATTTTTTGTCTCATTAATTCAAGTTTTAGAGCACGCTTTATAAGTATATGAGTACGCTTTATATACCAAAAATTGAAGCACACTTGCTCGACACCGATAGGAAAGGGAGAATTAGTGCATGTTTAGAAAAATAATCATTTCTTAAAATGTTTACAAATTTTGTAAATATTTTTGTATCATACTAACTAACATCTTTAAGATATTGTTTAAAAAATTAATAAATAATTTTTTGTTAAAATTATATTAAAAATATAAAAATTTTATATAAACAAATGCATTATTATAGTTTCAATAAAAAGTTATTATCAAATCTTTATTCAGCACACTAACGGATTTTAGCATTTTTCGTAATTTTTTAGCGAGAATTAGTGAATGTTAGCATTTGTTTGTTTTCACCCCCAAAACGAGGTACCTATATATATGTCGAGCTTCACTTAAATCCTTTTCTGACACTCGGTTACCCTACCATGACCCTTCCCACTGATTCATCACCACCACCTGAATCCACCACTACCAACGGCGTCGCCACCTCCTCAGAGGAAAACCCACAAGGACAGCCACCGTCGTTTCCAACTCCGCCGCAAGAACTACGAGTCCCAATATGGTGGCCAGAAGAGGGCAACCTGAGCATGGAATGGATCGAGAACCTGATGTCATGCTTCGATTGGTGTTCTCGGAACCTTCCTCCCTCCGAGTTCCATTCCGTTCTCCCCGTCAACGTCTTCGACTCTCTCATCCTCATCGCTTCCAAGATGCTCCACAAGGAACCTAATTGTGTCACCATAGACCCCTTTCGCCCTAGCCCCGATTCCGCGGCCGCCTCCGTCATCGTCGTCGGCGACGTTCATGGCCAATTGCATGATCTGATTTTCCTCCTCCATGATGCCGGTTTTCCCTCCCAAGATCGAATTTTCGTCTTCAACGGCGATTATGTGGATCGCGGCGCTTGGGGCCTTGAAACTTTCTTGCTCTTGTTAGCTTGGAAGGTACATTTATAATAACTTTTTTTTTTTTTGCGAAATTGAAGTTTCAGATTTTTTTAAGTGTTCAAGAAAAAAGAGTCTTTTAGGCAAAATAAACTTTCAATTCTCAATTGATTCAGTGTGGAAGGTTTTGTGTATGTTGTAGTGTGAGAGTTTGAATGGTCAAATGTGCTATACTTTGTTTTACAGTGTATAGGTATAGATGCCAGGTTAAATAGTCCAAACTAGGCCTATTTTAGATTGAAAGGTTTTTCATAATTTATTGTGGTAATTTTTCAATCAGTTTGAAAGGTCAAATGTGCTGTACTGTGATTGTGGTAATTTTTCAAACATTTCGGTCATATTCTAGTGTTGGAAAAATGAAGTTTTGATTCAGTTTGAAAGGTTTTTCGTATGTTATGGCATTAATGTACTCTAACTTTCAAAAAGGTCATATGTGCTATTCCTTTTTTTACATGTTATTAAAATTTCAAACGTCGCAATCATATTCTAGGTCTAACATTTTCTTGGCAAAATTGAAGTTTCAGTTTTTTGGATTTACGTTATGTTTAGGTAAAATTTATGGTGCGTTTGTAATTGAGAGGGTTTTCCTCTCTTACACGTGGAATAATCTTGACCGATAATTTTATATTGATATATAATGGAGTTAGTGATTTAGTTAAAATAGACGTTAATACCTTCTTATCTTTAATATATCTGAGAAATCACAATCGTTAATCTAAAGAGAGTACAAAATATCCTCTTAAGTTTATTGGTACCATAACAAGCACCTTTTTTTATTGCTTTCTATGAAGGATTCTCCCTTGATTCAGTTCAAAGGCTTTCTGTATCTGTTGTATTTTATGGTATTAATGTACTACAACAGTTCAAACGGTAAAATTTGCAGAGTTTAAATCTACATGTTTTTTTACACTTTCTACAGATAGATGCTTGTATTTTGGAGTCTTAACCTGTTATGCTAATTTTTCTAGTTAGTGTGTATGTGTATGCTATGGTTTGATTTGTTATTTGCTAAGAAAGATTTAATTGCTTGAAATGGGTTTATTCTCTTACAGTCATCGTGGGATGAGATCATTTTTTCTTTTTATGATATTTATTGTACTGTATTGATTTTATGTCAGGTATTCATGCCACATAACATATATTTGCTACGAGGGAATCATGAATCTAAATATTGTACGTCAGTCTACGGTTTTGAAAAAGAAGTAATGGTGAAGTATGGTGATAAAGGTAAGCATGTGTACCGGAAATGTTTGGGATGCTTTGAAGGTCTCCCTTTGGCTTCTATTATAGCAGGGTGTGTATACACAGCTCATGGAGGACTTTTCCGCAGTGTAACAGTGACACCTTCAAAGAGATTAAAAGGAAAGAAGAATCGTAAGATTAATGTTAATCATGATAGCAAAATTCTTTCCCTTGGTTCCTTGGAAGAATTGTCTAAGGCTCGGCGATCAGTTCTGGATCCTCCTTGGGAAGGCTCAAACTTGATTCCTGGTGATGTTTTGTGGTCTGATCCATCAAAAACTCCCGGTCTTGCTCCAAACAAAGAAAGGGGTATTGGCTTGTTGTGGGGTCCTGACTGCACTGAAGAATTTTTGAAGAAGTACCAATTGAAGGTAATTAAACAAGTTACTTTTAATTTTATGGTGATGTGTATAATTGACTTGGTGGATTATATCAAGTCATTAAATTGGTACTCTGGGATGTTATTTATGGGTAATTTTATCATATCATATTTCTACGAAAAGGATTATTTATTATCCATTGATATTATGAGAGCATGTATCCTCTTTTACCAGTGATAAAACAATGTTACTTAATTGATAGGAATTGTAAGAAAACACAGAAATACAGCAATTAATGTTGCTGTCCCGGAGTTTCAGAAAGTCCTACATAGCATGATCTCTGTCCAGGAGAAGAAAATATTATAACCTTCATTCACATAGAAATTACACATTATATTCTAAATATGTAATTGGCTACTCCAATGACTACACATTATATTCTGAATACATAACTACCTACTACAATAACTGTCACGAGACTGATTTTATTTTAATTCCTGCGCCTCCTAGAATAAACCTGTAGCATAGGTGGTTTGCTTGAGCCTAGGATTGGGTCGGTGACCCTACCAACCAGCTTCAAAATTTTGCTTGATTTAACATGATTATGTCAGTGAAGTGAAGACTCATGTAATGTCCCAGTGATATGTGGTTCTGGAAAAAGGAAGGCCAATTCAAGTGATTAGATATTGGTAGCTTTTGTTTCAGAAAACTATTGAAAAAGAGGAGATAAAAGGAGTAAAACCGAAAAACTGATTCCAAATATATTGTGAAATCAGAAGTTGGGACCTTGGGTGGCTGCATAATTTTCTTTTATTTAGTGTACTTGCCATACGAGTCTTTGCTTGAGAATTCAGAAACATCACTAACAGTGTTATCAAATGTCGCCATGGCAGGTCAAGGCGGCCATTATTTGCATGATGGAATTTTGAGAAAAAAAAAAAAAAGGAAAGAATTAGGTACAGAGAAAACCTTAAAATTTAGACTTTCAACCCCTGTTGGCCTCTGTTTTCTGTCTCAACTACATCGTTCTCTCTCACGTCAACCTCTCATCTCCTTTTCCCATCTATCGCCCTTCTGCTTCACATGATCCCTTTTTTAGGTCAGCAACTGATTTTTGTTTGTTTGTTTTTTTTTTTTTTCTTTTTCCTCCATTTTTTTCTTTTTCCTTCTCTTCATTCCTCCTCTGTCTTATTATTATTTTTTTTTATCATTCCTTTTTTGTTTCAGTTTCCTTTCTCTTAGATTTCCTTCTCTTTTTAGTTTTCCTTCTGTTGTTCATCCAATTTCTATTCTAACACTACTGCCTTGGTTTTTGCATTAGTTTTCCTTAATATGGCCAAACAACAAGCTTCCTTAATTAGTCTGTATATTTTTCTTGCTTCATTTCACTTGAAGCTTGATTTTTTAGTTTGTATTGAACTTATGCTTTGAGACTTGTGCTATGTTATTGTGAGACTTATTATATCTTGTTTATAGACATATAATGTTATTTGATGGTTTTCCATCAATTAGGCTGCTTGATTTTGACATGGTGTAGTTAGTTTTTTGTTTTTATATTACACTCTGCAGTTCTATATATATATATATATATATAGTGTCCGTGCTTCCACCCAAGGTAGTTAAAATTGGGATTTTACTTTAAATCGTAAAGGGGAGTGAAAATTGTAAATCAAATTGTAAGATTTTACAAAATTCATATATATGCTTAAAAATTAGGGGGAAAAACCTTTAAATCAGTAAAAGCACTTAAATAAAGTAGCACTCACATATTATAATCCATATTCCGTAAGAACGTCATGCATCAGCATGAGTAAAAAAAGACTAGAACAGAAAAGATGCAAGAACAGCAGCACTAGACTCGAACTCGGAGCAGTAGCACACTGCTGGGTTTAGACCTGGCTGCACACACTAGGAGTACTGTTGAATCGATAACGATGTTAGGGTTCAAAGCTGCTAGAGGCAAATTGGGTTCGATAAAAAAGAGATATGAAAGAGATGTCAACTACATTAGGGTTCAACAAATGAGACTTTTCGGAGAATTTTCAGAATCAAAGTGAAATTGTAAAATCCCACGATTTGAGGGATTTTACAATTTAAACTGCAATTTAAATTGGTAACGCTTCCAAAATTGTAGGATTTTATGATTCAAATCGGGATTTTAACTACCATGCTTCCACCAGCTGCCTTGGCATCTGCCATAATTTTATTGCAGTTTTTGGCTGGCCACCATGATGTGCCATCCACCATTGATAACATTGATCATGAAAGGAAACTGACATAACATAAGACTCAGTCCCTCACACTGAGCACTTCCTCTCAGTTTAAACAGGGATTATCATGCAATGCTTGTTATACCTTTCTTGCTTCTAACCAGAGTAGTCTTGATAACATCTTCAATTCCCTTTATTCTACCATCCGAGATATAGCATCTGTTTATAGATTTTATCAAAATCTTAACCTAGTAATATAGCCAACCAATCTTGTTGATTTTGGGAGGTCACCTGTTGCTCCAACAACTGCTTTTTGATCAGTAAAGACAGTGAACTCATGTCCAAATAGATATGAACGCCAATACTGAATAGATAACACTGACACCATTACTTCCTTTGATATGTTGATATCACTACACATTAGTGTTTGATCTGACAGTGCCTTGCTAAAAAATGCTTTGGGCAGTGTCTGCTGCATGTGAACTGCTCCAATACCAAGTCCCAGATGCATCACACTATGGAAAAAGGCTTGGAGAAATCTGGCATATCAAGTTCAACAATTCAAAAGCAGCCAGAGCATCATCATCCCACACAAAGCCCCCTGTAACAGTCTAGCCAATTTGCTGTAGTATTGGATGAACTTTAGGTAGTGACCTGTTAAACCAAGGGATGTTCTCATAATTAACCCCGTTTGGGCCATCATTCTCCTTGGGCCCAGCCTCATGTTTAGTTGGCCTATTAGATTGTAACCTAATTTAACATAGTGTGTTTGATACAGTCCAGGAATTTGTTTATGTTCAAGAATTGGATGGAAAGGGAAATTATGGAAATGGTTTAGGTAGGTACTAGTTAGGTGGGATGGAGAGTGTGGGAAGAGTCCATCTCTGGTTAGAATCTGATATCATTAAATTGAATTCTAATCCTAACTTGTGCATGAAAGGAAATCTAATTCTAAAAGGGAAACAACACTAAAAGACAGCATTTGAATATACATCACTCAATTGTCTTTACTGATTTCTGAATTCTGTTGAAATTAGATAGATATTTTTTTCTAATATGTTGTGTGTAAAACTGACTAGACCTTAAATGGCTCAGTTAATGACTGTTCACTGACTTTTGGGCTTTATATAAATACTTTACCTATCCCCCTAATTGCAAGATTGGACTTTTCTAGGCTAAGTTAACTTATAAAATCTATAGAACAATGACAAGTAGCTGAAATATATAACACCTAACTGAATATCTTAATTGATGCATTAAGAATGCTACTTTAATCTTCCCTTCATTTCCTTGAATCAATGTAAACTAATTGGACAAATAAATATATAACAGGTACCAAGTTCCCTTTGTTATGTTTTTTATTTCTAAAGCTAAGTACATTATGGCGGAAAAGTATTAGAGCTTTTGATGTACTAACAGTCAATGTTATCAATGGCGGATGGCGGCTCATGGTGGAAACTTAAAAAATTGCCATAAAGTTATAGCGGCCGCCATGGCGGGTTATGGCAGATTTAATAAAATATATGAAAAAATACTATAAGTCAAAGAAAATAATAGAAAATAATTAACTCAAAATATATGTAACATAACCTCTAATCTAAAGTATAATTCAATACAAAATATGCAATTATCAAATGTCAAGTTAACAATAAAAATAAAGATGATCAATTTAGTCCTCTTCTTCAACTCCAACATAATCATCCTCTTTCTCATCCACCAAGGCATATCTCTCTTCCTCTTCTTCAAATTGTGGAAGATTAAATTCTAATTCATCTTCTGTTTCTTCCGATATCTTTTCATTTTCTAATTCTTCATCATCATCTTCAAGAACCATTTTCTCTTTTCCTTTTGCTGTTGAACATGCCTTGATCTTGGAAACTTTTGCAGCTTTGATAGTGATACCACTTCATGAACTCTTTCTTTTCTTAGAATGACGCCTAGTATATGTTGTAGGCTCTCCAATTCCAGAAGCTTCATAAATAGTTGCCCAATTTAAAGTGTTATCACCATAAAAAACTAAGTCATTTCCAGCATCCTCATCTAGAGCATCATCATCCATTTCTCTAACCAACTACTCATTACACTCATCAATATCATTGAGTGTAATTGGATCAATTACATCTTTAAGATTGTAACGTTCTTTGAGTTGTTGGTTGTATTTTACATAAATCAAGTCATGTAATTTTTTGTGATCAAGCCTATTTTTTTTCTTTGAATGAATCTGCAACATGAGTTTAATTATAAGTATATTAATTAGTTTCTTTCTAATTTCTAAAAGAAAGTAGTAGGTTCGAGAGATAAGAAATTACTTGCTCAAAAACACTCCAGTTGCGTTCACATCTGGATTCACTATATGTCAAGTTCAAAATTTTGATAGCTAGTTGCTACAAATGTGGAGCTGAATGTTCATACATTCTCCACCATTGAGCTATAAAATGAAAGATAAATTATAACTCTAAAGATGAAGTATAACCTTAAAATTAAAATATTGAAGAATTTGATAAATTATCGGAGCAATGCTTTTTCTGTGATTTTGCAAAGTCGGACCCAAAGAGACCACTACTGCTCTTATAAATTGGTAATTCAAGTAGTATGCTTTGTTGCACATCCCGACTTGGCACTAACCTCTTGATACAATCATACAACCTATTTGTAACTTCCAAATCAAATTCAATTTGAGGGTTGTCATAGTAAAATTCTGAGTTTAAAATGTGACCAGCTGCATGTAATGGACGGTGAAGCTAACAAGTCCATCTGTTAGCAATGATTGCAAACACATCTTTGTATTTACTTTCATTATTTTTGAATGACTTTATAATAGCTTTTTTACTTTTTTTCATTGCTTCATAAATATACCCCATGGCTGGTCTTCTTTCTCCATCAACCAAATGTAACACCCGGACAAGAGGAATCATGATTTTCAAAGTATACACCACATTATTCCAAAATATAGGATTTAATAGAATTTTGGTTGCTTGTTTCCCTTTAGCTTCCTTTGGTAACATGTTTTTACACCATTCCTCAGAAGTAAACATCTTTCTAAGATTTGCTTTTTCTTGGTGAAGCCTTTCTAATGATAGAAAAGAAGTTGCAAATCGAGTAACTGCATGTCTTACCAATTCCCTCTTGTTTGTAAAATTTCTCAACAAACTTAAGGTACTTGAATGACTGTAGATAAAGCCAACAACCGATATTTTCCTTTGAATTGTCTTCTTTATCAAAGGAAGCTTTTCAATATCTTCAAGCATAAGATCTATGCAATGAGCTGCACAAGGAGTCCAATAAAGATGTTGTCTTTTCGCTTTTAACATCTTACCAGCCAAGACATAATTGCTTCCATTATCTGTTATCACTTGCACAACTTTATCTTCTCCAATCTCTTCTACAAGAGCATTAAACATCTCAAATAATTTTTCACCGGTCTTCACAAAATTAGATCCATCAATAGACCTCACAAACATAGTACCAGCAGAAGAGTTGACCAAAAAATTAATCAAGCATCTTTGCTTTCGATCAGTCCATGCATTTATCATGATGGAACAACCATGTTTGTTCCATTGCTCCTTATGATCTTTCATGAGGAAATCGGTATATTCTAGCTCTTTCTTTAGAAGTGGAACTCAAATATCATGATAACTTGGGGCTGGTAAATTTGGACCGAAAGCACCAACAACTGTAAGCATTTCTTGAAAGCTTTTCGTTTTAATGAGGCTAAAGGAAAGGCCACTGTGATACCAAAATCGAGCTATGTATTGATGGACCCTTACTTTGGCTTCTTTGTCACAAACTTCTCTTATATTTGTTTGTCTCAATTTTAACTTTTTCCTTTTCTCAATTGCATTTTCTGGCTTTCTACAAAATAAATCCATTGGCCCTTTCTGATTACCCATGGCAATAGTATGTGTTTGGGTATCCTCCTCATCCTCACTTTTATCATAGCTTATACTTTCAAAGCTTCTCATATTTAGCATTTTAAAGTTGTTTTGACTCTTTTTATCCTTTTGATATGCCTCAATCTCTTTTCTAACTACTTCAGGACACTTGGGACAAGCTCTCACATTACATTTCTTTCCAATCAAATGTTGTTTTACTCTAGTGATTCCAACATTCATAACTTTTCCACAAAAGTTACACACAATGTTGTTTGTATCACCCTCTTTCAACGAATGAGCGTATTTCCATCCCGGGTCGAATCGATTAGAAGCTCTTGATGATGAAGATTCTTGTTGAGCCATGTTAAGAGAAACTGAAATAAAGATAATGGGCTTTTTTGAGGATAAACAGGGAAAAAACAGAAAGGTGGATGAAGGAAAAATTGAACCATGGAAAGAGAAAAATAGAAATGAAGAATAAAAAAAAAAAACTGCAAGAGAGGGAAAAACAAAAAAAGATGGCTACCAGAAAAAAGGGGTTGCTGGAGATGGAGGTTAAAGTCGCCGGAAATGGAGGTTTAGGTCGTTGGAAATGGAAGTTTAGGTAGCCGGAGATGGAGATGTCGCGTCGGTGAATAGAACAGAGCAGAGCGGAGAAATAAGGGTCTACTTCGGAGAAGACAGATCGGAGAAGAAAAATAAAAAAAAGATGATGTTTGAGAGGGACGATCGAGCGGAGATGGGAGATGAGCAGAGAAATGGGAGATGATAAGAGAAATCGGAAACGAGGGATTCGGGAGAAGGGTTTGAGTGAAAGAGAAGTGAGACATACCTTAGTTATGCGCGGGTCAGCCTTAGACGGGTCGGGTTTGGGCCCAAATAATGAAAATCGACATTTTTCACAAATTTCCGCCATGGCTGCCGTTACCGCCATGGGCGTAACGGCCGCCACGGCGCCGCCAAACCCGCCATTTAATAACACTGCTAACAGTTAGGCTATATTTAGTAAAACTACCTGAAAGTTTATAGCTATGTAGCTAGCTAATTGAATTAGGGTTATTTGGTAAAAGTAAAACTTGCTAAAATGTGTTATATGACTAAAAAGAACATGTGATTATTATGTGTGTAAATTGTTTAAAAAGTTAAGGGTATATCTGAGAAGCAGACTGTTGGTAGCTTTCCAAAAGTTAGCTTTTAAAAGCTAAAAGGTCCCTTTATAGTTTGTTCATCAAACAACTCTATTAGCTTCTTGACTAAGTCAATAAGCTACAAGCTTGTGTTACCAAACACATTCTATGAGAAAGCAATTGTATAGATGCTGATTATTTCATATTTCCATGCATCACTTACTTTGTTATTATATAATTCTATGTCCTTATGTTTTTAGATTTTCATTGTGTTCCATGTCCACATCTTTGCTTTATAGATCAAAGCTATTCTCAAATGTCTAATTAATTATGATTTAGCAATCAGCAGTATATGTATCTCTAACAACCTTAATGTTTCATCAACTACAACAAAGGTTAAATGCTTTGAGTGGTTGCCTACTACTTGCTCATGGTTCTGTAATATTCTGTCATTCTGTGTTTTCTTTTTGTTACTTTGTGTGTATGATACGGTATTTTCTTCTTTATCTTGGTAAGTAACTTATTATGATTATTACTGATATATGGATTGTCACTAAATTTTTTATTTTCAGTTGATCATCAGGTCACATGAAGGTCCTGATGCTAGGGAAAAAAGGGATGGTTTGGATGGAATGGCTGAAGGTTACACTATTGATCATATTGTGGATTCTGGAAAGCTGGTCACCCTGTTTAGTGCTCCAGATTACCCACAATTTCAGGTTTGTTAATCATTCCCCTGGCTCAACATATGATTTATACTCCAATCTTTTCTCTATGTGGCAGGGCATTGTGCTAGTAATGTACTGCTATCCTAAACAGATTTTGTTGATGTTAAAATCTTCTTTGTTTTGGGTGGGAGAAGGGGGAGGTGGTGAAGTGATAGCATCATTCATATGTTGATAGGGTAAACATCTTGCCAATTTCCATTCTCCTTTTAGGAGGCATTTTGAAGAGCTTATGGAAATAGAGTAAGGTTCCCATAAGTTCTTTTACAATATTTTATTAAGCTCTTTTCAAATTATTCTAACAAGTTTCATGATCAAACAATAAACCCTCAAGTGATAACATCATATTGAATAAACACTTTATTAAGTTGTTTATCTAGCACCTTTAAAATATGACTATTTGTATGATATATATGAGTAGGAATAATAACTTGTTTAGGATTCAATTAATTATTGGTGTGGAGCCTTTGCACAATGCTTGCCACAGGTTCTAGTTGGTAAAACAGCCTATGTGGGATAAGGCATTGTTGATATTTTCATTGTATTCCTTTGTCATTTATAGGTTAACATGAACCTTGTAGCTGTCTGGAAATAATATGTATCAGCTCTTACGGGAAAACAAGTCAGTGTTTTGAACATTCATATAATTAAATAGTATATATCTTGACTTGAAACATGAAAAGATAGAAGTATTATAATCTAAGGGAAACATATATGCAGGGAAACTAATGCTAATATTTATAAGCTATAATTTGTCATACTTTTTGTAAAAAATGAAACTAAATTATAAGAAATAAATTTTTATGAATAAAATAGGACTTAATTAAGTCTTTAGTCAATACAAAAGCTGCACAATTTGGACTTAGTCCCTATAATTTCTACTTTTTCACGAACTATTATTTTTAGTCCCTCTGATAGTTGACACCTAGAAGGGACATGTTGCTGTAACACCACTATCCAACTTTTTGTAATAAAGTGTCTATAATCTCTATCTCTTTTGTCTTGTCATGTTGAACATGATTACGAATAATGCTAATTATGGATTATCACAAAGAAGCTTCAAAGGGGCTATGTATTTTTGTTTGAGATCATCATGAATGATTTTCATCCATATTAGTTCACAAACCCCTTGGATCATAACCTAAAACTCTGCCTCAATGCATGGTCGACCTTGCGACCATGCCTTGCTTCTCCATGACATCAGGTTCCAGTTCTAAACATGCAATATCTCAAAATAGACCTTGTGTCTATGATGGACCGTGCATGGTCAACATCAATATATACCTCCATAGTGTTAGAAACTTGAGAGAGGAACAATGGTGTTGGGAGTTAACGGCAACCATAAAGTACCTATCTAGCTGAAAGGAGAGTTTAATTGTACTACTTTTCAACTAGGCATTCTATACGGTAGTGAATGTTGAGTTTGAAAGGAACATTAAGAAAAAAATGAGAATGTTAAGATAGATGAGTAGTCACATTAGAAAAACGTTAGATAAAAAATGATTGTATATGTGAGAATATTAAAGTAGAATCTGTAATAGAAAAAAAGACAGAAAATCATTTAAGGTAGTTTAGTCACATGTAAAGAAAGCTAATGGAGGTACCAATAAAGCGAGTAGATGACATAACTTTTAGTTCAATAAAAATGGATAGAGAGATCTTAGAATAATTTTAAAGAAAATTATTAAAAGAGATTTAGTGATAAATAATATTTTTGACACATTAGTTTTTTAAAAGCTTACTAGTGTCGTATGATTTATGTAGTCAACTTCACTTAGTGGGATGAGGTTTAATTGTTTCTATTGTGTTAGAAACATAACAAGATACGGGAAAGAGAAAAAGAGAGGAAAGTTTTCACTCTGAAGTCTGAATGCTATTCACTTAACTAACCAGAAAGAGTACAACTATCTTTATAGACTGTTCAGTCCTAGCTGGAATATTCAGTATCAGTTACTGACATCATAAAGTTTGTTACAACAAAATATTCTAAAATGAATACATTTAAAATGACTATTTTGAATTCACACTAACATTATGCCCTCAAACTCTAGTAGCTTGAGTGATTGAAAATTTGTTAACTATTTGAAGTTTGTGTCTTAATGAGCTGAATCTTATGCCTTTGTTTGGATATCAGCAAGTTGATCATGAGCAAGAATGTGAGAGACAATAAGACTTTTGTTGATAACTTTTTCTCAAACAAAATAAAGATCTAACTCTAAATGTTTTATTCAAGTGTGAAAACCAGGGTTGTGAACAAGGGATATAGTGCTGAGATTATCACAATAAACAGGTGTTCAAACGGGAATTTCTAGGTTCTGTAGGCGATACTGAAGCCATAAGATTTCAGTTACAATGGCTACCAGAGTCTGCATTTTAGACCACCAGGATACAAGATTAGGCCCAAAGCAAACACAAGTAGCAGAGCTGGATCTATCATCTACGGTTATCAGGTACCTAGTCAGCATCACAAAATGCTCAAATTACTAACTGGCCAGGATTAGGAGTAGGTTTAAAGTGCAACTCATAGGTGAGAGTGCTTTGAAGATATCGAATGATTCACTTTACAAGTTTTCAATAGCTTTCAAGGGGTTGAGAGAAAAATTGACAAGCCTTATTTACACTAAAGCTAATTTCTGGGCATGTTATGGTGGCATATTGAAGAGCTTAGATTTGTAGAGACTAGGTTCCTCCATGTAATTTGAGCCAAATTTGGAATTTTTTACCTCCAACCATTGGTGTAGCTATGTCCTTGGCAGTTGACATGTTAGCTTTTGGAAGATCATGAATATATTTTGATTAAGATAAAAGAACAAAACCATTGACAAGTATGGATATGGAGATGAAAATTAAAGGTGTTACATAGCAGATATGGGGATGGTGCTATAGTATCCTATTCAGACCCTACCAATTGTCATCCCTAAATGCCACTTAGGATCAAAGAGAGCATTTTTAAGTGAGGTTTGTAGTGTGTGTGCATTTACAAAAGTAATATAATATGAATACCCCCGCCTAGAAGATAGAATGGGCACGGGACCCCATAAGTTGTACAAAATTTAGTTCATGTTTTTTTGAAAATGAGTATATTACAATGTTGTAGTATTGCCTTCAATGTAACAGTGTGAGGGTGTCCAAGCCTGTTGTGACATAGTGTATGAGGTGGTATATGAGGTAGTATATACAGCTAGAATTAAAGGTACAACAATATTATAATTAAAAAAAAAAACTAAGGTTTGCTTCCTTGTGTTGTTTCATATGTTGGAACTTGTAGAGGCCATAAGCTCCAATTGTTCCTTCCAAAAACACACACTGAGATGCCTGAGATTTAAGGAAGCACTGTTTAGGATAAATTCAAATTGTACGCATCATTGTCCTGTGCAAATTGACTCACTGACCAGGTTCCTTGTGATTGATGGTACTAATAAATGATTGTGAAAAAAGAGTGTAGTGTCTGGTTGAAGAGGTGATTGAAATTGTGAACTATGAATAGAAGAGATTGCCAAACCTTGGCCATTGCCAATTAGCACTTGTTCAAAACCTTGAAAGGGAACACTTGCTGTAGATTTTCTGCATGTGGTGTAACATGATGAGTTGCACTAGAATCAAGGAGGAGGTGTATTGATCCATGAGGTAAGAGAGATGGGACTGGATAAGAAGCTGAAAGATAGGTTGGGAGGGGCTTAGAGGATTGTACTATGAAAATGAAGGTGGCTGTGTAGGGACGTATGCTTGATTAGGAGGATAAGTATATATTGGAGTAGAAGCATAGGTTTGATCAAAATGGTGCTAACACGAGAGTGCATCATGGCCATTTTTGTGGCTAACCTTATGTTGAAGTTGCACATTGACTATAGATATGGCTAAATAAGAGCTTATAAAAGGTTAAAGCAATTTTCACCTTACAAGTTAGCTTTTGGGTTAAGTTACGCTTAAAGTCCAAATTTAACATGGTATCAAAGTTATCATAGATCCAATAATTGGCCACCCTTGACTGGAAAAAAAAAAAAAAAACTGGTTCCATGAATTTTTCTAGTGCAATTAACCTAGTTCTTTGGTCTTTCCAGTGCTACCTATGTGGTCCCACAACTTCTCTAGTATTATATTTAGAAAAAAATAGTCCTACAATTTTCAGGCCCTTATGTCTTATCTTGAGCATGAAGGAGTGTCTTGAAGTCCCACATCGATTTTAAATATGATTAATTAAGAGTTTATATAGGCTGAAATTATCCTCACCTTACAAGCTAGCTTTTGAGCTTGAGTCAAACCTAAAGAGCTCTGAATTGATCATGACCTCAACATGAAAGGAGTAATCGAAGGCATGATGTTGCCGGTTCTGGTCAGAGGACGTGTTTGAGATACAACACTGTGGACATGATTGGACTTTTAACCACTTGTAGCTTATGCAACATTCACGAAGAATAGTCAGTGGCAGGGACTTGACGATTCTTCTCAAGTCGCTCATTATTTGGTTTTAGAAAATATTTGCTTTTATTTTTTGTTTGCACTTAATTCACAAAAGAACATTTTATTCTCCTTGTGTTTCTTATTTTTGGAGATTTGTATAGGAAACAGTGAAAATTAAAAAAAAAAAAAAATTCTCTTTACTGTTTTCTATACAAGTGATAGCCTTTGGAAAATGAAGGTGTTCACGTGGATTATATCTGAGTTATATAAGACATATATGATGGGATAACTACAAGTGTAAGAACTTTAGGAGGTGTAACTAAGGTTTTTGCTGTAAAGATAAGTTTAGATTAAGACTTCGTCTTGTGTTTGTACCTATTTAACTTAGTCTTGGATACACTTACTAGAGACATACAAAAGATTGTTCATAAATGTATTTTTTTTGCCAATGACATTGTCTTGATTGGGGAGTGAAGAAAAGATCTTAACTTTAAACTCAAGCTTTGGAGAGAGACATTGGAATCAAAGGATTTTCATTTGAGTAGGAACAAGACAGAGCAAATATATTGTAATTTTAACAATAAACAAAATGAAAATGATTTGGAGTTAAATTTTGGAGATGATGTCATTACACAAATTTAAGAATATATTACTATATTAGTTTTTTAAATGTTTTCTTTATCCTATAACATCTATTTTTCGTACAGGCAACAAAGGAGAGGTATAACAACAAAGGTGCATACGTTGTCCTTGAAGCCCCGAATTTTGACAATCCTATATTTCATGGATTTTCAGCCGTTTCCCCAAGGCCGAAGGTAAGGAAATCATACTCATCTGCTCGTCCAAGAATATATGACCGCCATGATGTCTAATGACCTTTTTAGACGTTGAGGATAGTAGGGACACCTTTAATTTGAGCTATAGTTATGGGTTTAAATTGCAGTTAGTAATAATAAAATTATTTCCGTAAAGTTGTTAATTCTATCCTTTTTCTATGGGACAGGCGAATGCCTATTACGATTATGAAGAGGTGATAGACTCCGACGAAGAATTGGACTTGGCCTCCATGGTAACTTCCTGAGGGATTTTTGTGCAAAGAAAATGTTATGTTTTCATCTTTGTGAAAGTTATATTGATATTATTATTTTTAGAAATGCAGTTTTTTTTCAAGTTATAATTATTATCGATCCGATTTATAAAGTTTGTATATCAAATGACCCAAATTAACCAACCCCAAAAGTAGTTATTTAGAATTGCCGCATTCTCACATTTCAGTTATAACAAAAAAAAAAAATATTCATGATCAAATTCACGTTTGTAGTGACCAGATAACCGTATTCTTGAACATTAGGGCAAGCGTATTACAATGGAATACTAAGCTTGAATTTAACATGTAGGTGATTTTAGAAGCGAATGATTATACTAGTTTCAGTTGCACGGGCTTTCATTAATGATTGAGCATTGAGTTTAAAACCGATGAATGCTTAAAAATCTTCCATTCACAAGTTGAATTTAAATTGTAGTGTACCTAATTCTAATATTGTAAGGTAATTTTCTTGTATTGGATTAGCATTTTTCAGTGACTGCTAATGTTTGTGTTGCTCTTTGACAGTGACTACTGACTAATATTTAGCATTGTATCAATCTGATTTTTTTTTTCAAATACAATTCATGCGTATTTGATTTTTGTAGTGTAGATGCAAGCTTCCTGGCTCTTCATATGTTTAATCAAAATGAACTCCAGTTTATTTTATTTATATTGAATCACGCTATTGTGTTAAAATAAAGGATCAACAGAGATCTTCAACCATCAGAAAACCCTAGCTAGCTGATATTAACATGGTTAAATTGTAACGCTTGAGAAAATCAAGTGCATTTTAAAATCAAATATCACTAACACTTAACGCTGAGCTAGTCAAACTTGCAATTGTTTGGCTTGGAGTCAACTATCCCATAAAAACCATTGTAAATGACGAGGATGGCATGAACGTAGCAGCTTTCTCTATTCTGATTGCTCAAATGGGACACGAACAAACTGAAATTATGAGGATTGGTACAATTCGGTTATTTGATTTCTACACCTATCAAACGCCCCTTAATGGCATGGCTTTTAGCTGGGGACTTTGGAAGAAATTATTTCAAGGGATCTTGTGGTAAATATCTTGAGAATTTGATTTTTCAAATGCATCTAATGGCAGTCATCCATAAAGTTGACCTCTCACCTAGTGAGATAAAGCTATTGTTATTATTGTATAAAAGCCAATAGAAACATCTCCAAATAAATAAGAATTAAAAACATCATAAAAAATAATATGCATTACAATCTTCATATGAATGCCAGAACCTCAACTCCTATGATAACAGAAAGAGACAGCTGCAAAATCTTGCAGCCCAGAATAATTTTACTTTTCTTTCGTGAACCATTAAGAAGGTTTTGTGATAACACTCAACTTTTTGTATCAGATAATTTGTTGAACCGCACCCAGAGTTCAGTTTTATTTTAAAAGAAAATAAAATTATGACTCCCATCTTTAATTGGTAAACCCTCTTAGTTTGCTATGCACCATGCTGCTATTTATGCCACAGTATTATACTACAGTCATTTAAAAAAGTTTATATTATGAATTCTATAACCAAGAGGAATATGAGACAGAAATATAATGATAAAGGTGCAGGGCCACAGCATACTAAGATAACTTCTCTTATAATGTCATATAGCTATAATTCATACCAATCAGGATTTGATCAAGAAATTTGGGCAAATGCACATCATTTTGACCAATAATACATTTTTGTGTCAAAACAAATAGGTGTACTTATAAGCTTTGCAGGAACATTGAGCAAGCACATATATCTTGAAAAATATATTTGTCAAATTATATTTGTTTTCCATCAGCACTTACAACTCAGATGCATAATTCAATTTCTTGAAATATTTTCTAATGCAGAATAATTGTTCAACAGCATCCTTGTAAAATAGAACACACAACAAATTTATCATTCAATAACTTAAAAAGAAATTAAGCAAAAAATGAAAATGAAAATGTAACACGCATGTATAAAAAAAGTTTTTATTTTCAGGGATGCAAACAAGAGAAAGACAAGAAACCATAAGTTGTTCCTTAGTTTGGAGGTCTGAGAGACTCTCCCACTTGCGAGATTTTTACAAAAATAATATTAAAAAATAAAAATTTACATGTTTAGACCTGCACCTAATTTATTTACATGGATAGATCGGTTTGCTATACACGTTCGAAATTCGGTTTCCGGGGAACCGAATTCTAAGGTAAGTTTAATTTTTTTTCAATTATTTTTATATTTTTATATAATAAAAAAGTATTATTTAAATTATATTTATATATTTCTATTTTATTAAAATGAATATTTATAAATATTTTCTTAATTATATAATAAAATAAATTTTATTATTTAAATTATATTTATATTTTTATATTATGTGAAAATAAATAAAAATAATAAATAATATTTAGTTTACATATTTATTCGAACATTTTCAGAAACCCAAAAAATATATGAACTTTCCATTTAAATTCGACTAATATCTATGTTGTCAAATTCGAATAATATCAAGAAGACAAATAAATCGTTTGAAATAAGGGGTCTTAAAACCCAAAATTTAATGGATTAATAGTGGTAATAATTAATTATCACATATAAAACAACCGTCAACGAAAAAATTAACTATGAAAAGCTGTTCGAAGGAGGTGAAGTAAGATGCAGAACTGCTGGTGCTGAAATACTAAAATGATTACCCTGAAAATAAAAAATTATTTTTACTTTTAAAAACTGAAAATAAGAATTTTTTAAAAAAAAAAATTTTTAAAACTCAAATTAACAAACAATTTTTTTTAATTTTAAATTTTAAAAACAGAAAATTATATTTAAAAATAAAAATCAATCATGCCTTTATTTTTTAATATAATTTTGTGGACTGAATGATCAATTTTAAAGTGATTAATACAATTAATAATTATGATTAACATGATTTAACAATTGGTTATTTGACTTATTTTAAAAACTAATAGCTAAAGTATATAAATCAATAGCAAATACGCTCAATAATGTCTTGAAAGGGTTACCTGGGTTTTTTTTTATTGCATAAAAATATAAAAAATTAAAAAAAAAATTAAAAAACCCACTTCAAAATTCGATTCACTGTCAACCGAATTCTGAAAGAGTATACGTTTATACAATAAATGAGTTCATTCCCGTAAATAAAAGGGAGAAATTTTTACTAATATAATATAAAAAAAGAATATAATTACGTAAATGTACCTGTGCGGAATAAATTTACAGAATTAGACTCAATTACTGTAGTAGTAATTGGGTAGCCAGAATTCGGTCCCTGGGCCACCGAATTCTAGATGTTTGATTTTTTATTTTTTCTAATTTTTTTTAATATTTTTATATAATTAAATAAATTTTAATATTTTTATATAATTAAATAAATTTTATTATTTAAATTATATTTATATATTTATATTCTATTATGTAAAAATAAATAAAAATAAAGATAATATTTATTTTACATGTTTATTAAATTTTTTTTACATAATTATGATAATAAATAATAATTTTATTTTTGTTATTACATTATTTAATATAATTTTAATTTTTGTAAAATGATATTAATATTATATTCTAAAATTATATTTTTGGTTATTTAATATTATTTAATAAAAATTATAATAATAATTGAATTAATTTTAAATTTATATTTGATAAAAATTACAATAATAATTTATTTAATTTTATATTTTTATAAAATAAATAAAAGTATTAAATAATAATAAGATTATTTATTTAATTTGAGATATTAATCTTTATTAAAATTTATACATAATTATTTATTTAAAAAATATTTTATTAATATTAATAAACATTAATTAAATAATATTATGTAGATATATATATATATATATAATATTTAATATAAATTACTAATACTAAATTTATAAGTTGCAATGACATTCATAAAATTAAAAATTACATGAAGAAAATTTTAAAGTAATAACAACAACATAAATCAATGACGGGAAGTAGAAGCTTGAGTAATGTTTGGACATGTCTTCCTTGTGTGACCATGGGTGTGACAATAAGAACAATTTTTTTGCCAACTTTGTTGTTCTCTAATGTCCATCTCTGTCCTTATCCTACTAGACTTGGGTCGACCCTTTGAAGTTCTTTTCAGTTTTAGATTTGGACACAAAGTTGAGCCCGTGTAAGTTGGCCAATAGTCATCATGTCTGAGTTCTCCAAACTGACCTTCGTATACCTTAGAAACTTGTTGTAAGGTATACACGGGAGATATGTATATGTCAAAGTTGTGGTGTGTGTATAAGCATGAAGCAAGTACATGCGAGCATGGGATGTGAACTTTTTGAAACTTGCCACAATCACACCACATTTCATCTAACCGTACTGTAAATTTTCCTACGGGTCAAATTTCTATCGGATGTTGCATTTCTTCGACTAAAAATTTAGTGCTTGTTCTGTCAAAGGTGATGACTCTATGAGTGTCTGCGTTTGACTGTGCATCTTGAATTGCTTTAGTTGCAACCTTTGAGTACATATGTCCAGCATTAATCACTGCATCTACTTCTCTGCCTCTGTCAATGAAGAACTTATTGCAACGGGTGTATGTTGCCAGGATCATGGAGCAAATTGGCAAGTTTCTGGTTTTCTTCAAGACCGAATTGATTGACTCCGCTAGGTTTGTTGTCATGTGTCCCCAGCGTCGTCCATTGTCCCATACCAGTGTCCATTTTTTCCTTGGGATGTTGTCCAACCATTGTGCAGCTTCAGGATTATTATCTTTTACTGTGTTGTAATAGTAAAAGAATCTCGGTTCAGTCATCCCATATGCTAGAAACAAGATTACAAAAAAAATTAATATAACTAGCTAAGCAATTGTATAAAAATATTAATGAGAATATAAAGTACGTAAAAAATTAAAATTACCCATATTGACGACATCTTTCTTCAGTGCAGCATTTTTGAATTGTCGCATGAAGTTTTGTGCAATATGTCTAATGCAATAGACATGGACAGAATTGTTTTCTATCCAACCACTTCCATTTCTAGAGTATGCACTTCTTATGGCCTTGTGACGATCCGAAATGAGACACAACCCCTCTTGCGGAGTTACGTACCTCCTTAAGTTTTTCAAAAAAAAAGAACCATGCATCGCTAG